GTGAAATTACATCTCATTTCAACTTGATGATGACACGGGGTTGTTGACTGCTTTTGTATACTACGAGTACGTACCACAGAAAAATAACTTGCCTCAGATCCTCACTTAGACATCAATTATGTCAGGCTCACTATGATTTATAAAGTGTATTTGATGATGAATCCAAGGAGAAAAACAAAACACATAATCACACGCAAAAAATAGATAACTCCTGCAGAGGCAAATGGGTTATTGTGAATGTATATTTTTGCCATTCTTTCAAATGTTTCACAGATAGTTGCAACACATGAAAAATGGTGGCCCCGTAGTGACAGCATGACCGAGGTTGAACATTTGTAATCATTGGGACACATTGTTGTTTTGGTTGAGGCCTCAAAGGGTTGAAGGTGACAAGTCATGGTGGCAAAACACAGCACACAAAGAAAGCAATGCTTTCACACATGAAAACCTCAAACACCGGCACCACACATTCATTTTTGTTTCTGTCGTCCATGAGCAAACAATCACACAAACCAAAGTATGCAGATACAAAGACACACAAACCACACTGGAATCCCCTACCGTACCTAACACAAACACACACACTTCCCATGAGGCTGGAATATTTTGGTCTGTGAATGTGTATGCACACGCATGCGTGCTTTTGGCGCACTGTAAGTCTCATGTGGTTTCACCTTCATGCCAGGGACCCAAATGTTGTCTTCATTATCATCATACGACTGGAGGAAGCAGATCTGTTAGGGCTTGTGGCAACAGTAATGCCTCTCTGTCCGGATATAAAAAAACAACTTTTCTAGACGGATGTTTGTCATGATGTCACCCGTCCACAGGACCGGGAACATTAAGAGGGAAATAGTGCCTAGTGCCTCAATACAACTGCATTTCCAATAATACCAGAAAGACGGGATGGACATTTGATTGATGGTCATGTTTACAGAGCTCTGTGTAGTGAGTTTATGTAAAGCTTTTTGACAGCGTTTTGTTTAATGCAGAATTTATATTGCAAAATGCTAATGCTCTTAGCAAATCACATCCTCAAACTTTCCACTGAGCTTTGTTTGGGTAAATATGCCATTTCAATCCAGTTTGTGAGCAGATTAAACATGGAAAAGCTTTTTGTACCGTACGTGCTGTTAGCACATTAGACAGCAATAATTCAAACACCACAGAACCCCTGCAAGCATTATACAAAAGGTTGACGCTAACAATCTTGGACAGAAAACGGATTTTCCAGGCCCAATTATAGTTGAAAATCTTTTAAGAAACTCCTGGCTTAGCTTTGCAAAAACATTACAGAGCTGGCATAGCTTTGTATCACAAGGCTAGTGTGTCACAAGTGTTTAATGCTCACCAGCCTGATCAAAGTCTCAGATATTACACCATAGGCCTTATTCGTTCCCACACATCTTTACCTCAAAACAACACCCTTAGCCTACACCTCGTCAGCCTGAGGACCACCATGCCCGCAGACAGGGCTGGTGTGTTTTTACTAGGAACAAACCTCAATTATAAAACCCCAGGAACAGAACTGTTATTCCACTAATCACCACATCAAAACAGGAATCAGATCTCAGGGAAAAGGCAGCCAGATTTTCGCTTATTGCCTTCCAGCTGACTTCAGAGTACATCACAGGTTAGTAGGACACATAAACAACAGCAGACATATTCACTTAGTTTCTCTCCTCTCTGCGTGATGCACATTAGATTTTTTAACCACCACAAGATAAATTAATTACCATGACCCTTATAATGCAAGTCAATAGAGATGGCGTAGGAGAAAGTTGCAATAAAGCGCATTGTTGAATTTGTAGCTGAGAAGAGTGTTTCAGTCAAATCAAGTGAGAACCCCCTTCTGTTTTGAAAAGTGTGAAGCAGATGGTAAAATTAGTTAGATATAAAGAAATAAGAAGTTATTTGGATCAGTGGTTCTGTAATAAATGTGCAAAACCAACTGTGCACCCATGTCCACAAACGACCGCAACGGGAAGTCTGCATGTTTTTCACAAAATAGCATGCCTGTCTGTGCCATGATGTGATCAAGGATGTGTAGTTTGTATCTGTGTGTCAAACACGTTACACATTTACTCATACCGCTACTATATAGGTGCCCGAAGCGGCCAAAAAGGTGCTTTGCCCTTCAAATGAAGACGTCTCTTTGATTAACTAACAGCCTGAACTTGGACTTTGTCCAAAAAGAATTCCCGGGGCAACGCATTTAATGGGGCTTGATTTTAATTGAGGCTTTAAAATGTTCAAGCTAATTTTTTTGACGTAAGAAATGTGCTTGACATTCAGACCAACTGTCAAAAAGATAAATGCATACACCAGAAGTAAATAGGTGAACATACAAGCATGACAAGAGAAGAGGTGAGCAGGACAGAATGCTTGTGTATCTGCGAGCGTGTTTGAATATGGTGCAAGGCCGGGAGACTCCCAGGACTATAATTACACCCTGGTGAGAGTGAAGCTGATAACAGAGGCCTGAGGATACCAATGTCATGAGGAGGGGACAGAAGGAGAGGACAGAAAGAGAGAAGAGAAGAGAAATTAAAAAAGAGGATATTGTACATGATACCTTATCACACACCAGCTTTGCTCACTGACACAGCTTTTTCATTTCCTCCTTGGTAGTTATCTAATGACCCCTACAGCAGATAAGCTTGCATACACACACAAAAACACACACTCACACATGAGCTTCATCAAAGAAAAAGCCAAACAAAACAGCCTGCACATTTAGTGTGTTTACACTGGCTATAATGATTCAATTATAGCCAGTGTAAAGCAATACTCAGTCACATAAACTCCTTAACCGAGTTATCTTTCTCACATTAAGGCTGCATTCAGAGTAACACTGCTGCATTAAATGTCAGCCTTTCTAATAAACACAAGTTAGACAGATTTATTTTTGGCAAATACATGATGTGCACATAAAAGCAACGGATTGATCTGGCTTAAGATGCCTTCATTTTCTATATCCTATTAAACAGTAGGATACATTACATTGCATTTAGCTGACGCTTTTATCCAAAGCGACTTACAATAAGTGCATTCGACCAGGAAGACACAACGCTTACTTCTGGACATTAACCCAACAATCATACAAGGCACTTATTTTTATTACGGATAACTACCAATTATATCTAGTAAACCATTTGAATACCAGCATATATTTATATTTTCCACATGGTTTTTCTAATCAATTTTACAGATAGATGCCTTGTGCATATTTGCAGTAAATGTGTGAGTGATTTGAGTGCAATGACCACACTGCATGAAAAGCACTCACAGCAGGGGGGACTAATGTACCGGTCAGCTCCGACTGAGTGACCGTCCTCCAGATGACATCACAGCCACAACAAAGAAACATTAAGGAGATAACAGCCCCTTGGAAATGTTGTTTCTTTCAGCATTGCAGAGCTCTGTTGCTATGGGGACATGCCTCACATTGAGAAAAAAACAAGTTAGAAAAAGATTGTCCTTGAGGCTCACTATTCAACAGTGAACGGTTATACACTGAATGCGGTTAAAGTATTCAGAAAAGTCTTCTATACTACGGCGGAGCTCAGCCAGTCTTTATCAGCAGGAGTGCACCATACGTTTACTGCAGCATAAATATCATAGCATATAACCCAGAGTGCAGCAGATCTATTGGATGCTTTTGCACAATATTGCAGGAATGCTTACTGTAAATATTCTTACAGTAATTGGTGAATTTACCCTTGATTTCTCAGACTGTATACGCAAATTAAATGTTATTTTCGGTGTACTTAATGCTGCACAGAAGCACATCCCCTATCATATGTTCTGATAACTAACCCATATCCATTCAGTACAGGATGACCTTTTGTCCTTTAGTGCCATGAGAGAGGAAGCAGGCTTTCAGCGCTCACAGAGGGAGGGACAGTGTCAGAGACCTTCCATCACCGTATTGTCCAGACTCCCCCGTGAGGCTCTGCTCTCTTCCACTGTCTCTCCGTGCAAACACCAGTACATTTACAGGTCTCTCACTATTTAGCCTCATTCGAAACAAGGGGAAATTAGCATTTAAAAGACTGGTGGTTACCGCTTATTCAAGGGGATGCAGCCCACCTCCAAGGAAACAACATGCCATGTTTATGTTAAAAGCAGAGCCTTTGCCAAATAAATCAACTTGTTCTCGAAATGGAAATTAAACAGCCTCAAATTAAATCACTGATTAACAAATCAGGCCTAGGAGTTCTCCCCCTACTTTGTTGCACTAAACAATAAAATGATGAATTAACTCATTGACCTCAACTCTATACTTTAAAGCTAGGGACTGTTTCAAGTGTGCAGGATAAGAGTTCCTGAAAGAGTGCAGTGGCTAAGTGGGTCTTTCTTCTGCTTCTGTTTATTGAAAAACAAAACACGTGCCTCAAAGTGGCCTAATTAGAGAAGTGGGAGTCAGACAGCAGTTCAGGACTGGCAAAGGGCAGCACACAACTTATTGGGAAACTTTTATGCCCTTTAATAATTTTTTATTATGAGTCTAGCAAAATAGGGATTAACATCACAGTGGCTTAATTGTCTTTTCGGATGGTTGATCATTGGTTTAATTGCACCCATTTTTACTTCCCCATTCCCCATACAGTGTCAGTGTAATGTTATAGATTCTGAGAACAACAAAACCAGTCTTTAGTCTACTTGTATCACAGTGGCTGTCTTTCATGTTAAAAGTTTACAGTTCTAGGCACTTTGCAGCGAGCGACTTGTAATAAGTCCATTTAGCAGTAGCAGTAAGCTGTAATACATCCCCATTACTGATAACAGCAGTGACAGTAGTACAAAGAATCGTAAACTAAACCACACATGGGACAGTCTTTGAACACATCACGAGAGCACAAACACAAACACAAACAGGTAAACACAGAGTCAAAGTTAGCCTCATGTGTGCGAAGACGGCTGGTGTTGTGAAAGCGTGTTTAAAGTGCTCAGAAATAACATTATAACGTGTTGTTTTGGGTTAATATGGCACTCACCTGCGATACTAAAGGAATAAGCGTCTGTTCCACCGAGCGAGTTTTGATTTCCAGCCCGGAATCAAAGTTAGTGTTGCCGCACGGAGATGAAGCCATTCCCGCCGAGCTGCCACACAATGCACGGCACTACTGAGTTTACCAAGAGTCTTTCCCTGGATGTTTCGCAGATGTAAACCGGTGCAACGGACTTGCTATGGCAGTACAAGATGTCTGAATTGGTTACACAGTCGTTTACCGAGTGGCTCTCCGCACACACGCTGTTTAATCCACTCTGGCTCGGTGGTTGTGTCGCTGCGCCGCTAATGTCCATGTAGTTAACTGAACACCGGCAGGGAGCGGACTGCAGCACAGCACTGTGGGCAACCACACACACACACACACACACACACACACACACACACACACACACACACACACACACGCCACAGCGCGCACACACACATACACGCACACACAATTTCGGGTTCTCATGCTGGCTCATGTGCAGCTAAATTTGGCTTCCCAAAGTTCAGTGTACCATTTTGCTTATTATAATCGTTATGATTGCTTTAATTTTGATATGTCTGTTTCTTCACTATATGAGTTGTGTAATGCAATGTCATCAAATCAGACCTATGTTAATACAAGTACTGTTGATGTAAACATAATCTGTAACCTCTTTTATTATTGTTATTTTGCACTTTTTGGTTTAAAAATGCATCAATCAGTAATGCAAATTGCTGCAGGGCCCTCCAGAGAGAGATGACGAGTGATGCTGTCCTCGCAGCGCAGTTTTGGTTTGATCCCTGAGACAAAGAATCCCACATTATCCCCTGAGTCTGAGAATTCCTTATCATCCTCTCCAAATGCTCACCAGATATGCCAATCAAATGTGGGCTGCACTGAGCCACTTGGGACAACTGCACTGAATGGAATGCAGTGCCAATCTTTAAAAGTTACCAACTTCATTATGTGCATTTGCGCATTCAATCTCATGATCTAACTAGTAGATTACTCAGGGTCGAAACGTAAGAAGGGGACCCTTAAGGTTTAATAAGTAAATTGCTTCCAAAGAGTTTGTTTGAAAAGAAAGTTTGGGGCTCTCTGCTTGAACTGTTACCTCCGCGACCCGACCACGGATAAGCAGAGAAGATGGATGGATGGATGGAGTTTGTTTATGATTTTATATGGTTTTGGATCAAATCTGCAAAATCGCAAAACAAACATCAATAATATAAAAGGGTTGTTGATGTTTTGATATCTTAAACAACTTGGAACACACAGATCTGGCTGGATGTTTTCCTGCTCTGAAGAGTTTTATCCTCTGCAGACATATTTTGAATAAATGACAAGTGCAGAAAATCTGTTTACAGAAGCTTAGAGTGAAGCCATCAATAAAACCCAGCATTTCAATTAGAGACTCTGAGTTGTGGATTGATGACATAGATGTGCTTTTTTTGTTACAAATTGTATTACTTTTTCATATTGTATTTCAGCAGAAGGATATAAATCCCTATCTCCTCATTTACCCATCACCAACCGTCAACACCTCCCCACCTCCACATCTCTCAGAATTTCCCCACACTACTTTCACAATGTGTATCTCAAAATAGCAGAGTACCAAAAGGGACACAAACAAAAACATCAGCAATACTGAAGAACTGTGAGTCTGTTGATGCATGATAAGGGCAAACATGTTAATTATTGCTAAAGAATACTTGAGCCTGAGAAAGAAACAGGATGACATTTCATTTTGAAAATTGACTGATTGGAGATTACAATGACTCATATGGATGTTATTTCTATAGGTGGAATCATTTTGTGTGGGGATGAGATGATCTAGCGACTAGCGTTGCATGCTCATATGAGATTAATAAGTACTACTAAACCAGTTAACTATCGCCAATGTGTGTAAATGGTGTGCATTAGAAGTTCTGTAAAACTTCTCAATATGGAGAAATGTTTTGAGCCTTAACACATCCTTCCTCTTCTTATTTTGTGAGGCAGTGAATGGTATCCATAATAGGACTCAAAATAGGCCTACTTTATTGCAGCCTGGATCCGAGTCTGACCAAACTATTGCCAAATTATTTGTATCCTCAACTCAAGTGGCTCCAGTGGCTATTTCTAACTTTACAAGTGGAGCCACTGGATGACAAGTGGTTCATATTACAAACACACCAGATGACTGAGAGAGCAGATAGCACTGTGGCATCGTTAGTGAGGGCTTTGCTGTCTGCTTTATCATCAACTATAGTAGCTGGCTCGCACTCTGTGTCAGCAGAAGAGACAATAGCTATGGGTGTGTGTGTGTGTGTGTGTGTGTGTGGTGTGTGTGTGTGTGTGTGTGTGTGTGTGTGTGTGTGTGTGTCTGTCTGTCTGTGTGTGTCTGTGTGTTAAGACTGTCTGCCACTCTCAGCCCAAGCCAGTATTTATTTAAAACCCCAGAGCTATGCTTTAGTTTAACCCTCCCTGTTTACATAGGTTTCACTCCCCACACACACACACACACACACACACACACACACACACACACACACACACACACACACACACACACACACACACACACACACACACACACACACACACACACACATACACCACACACACACACACACACACACACACACACACACCACACACGCACACACATTGCTTCATTATGAAGGCATGCAAGTAGTTTGGCTGCTATGAGCGGACAGGGCTATATTCTGCTTTGATGAATGGCTCTACTACTGACTAGATAATATCTGTATGTTTTTTGTTAATCTGCTGTGAGGCTCTCTCCGAAGTGATACGATAATGATAACAAGCTCCCATTGGGCTTCATGCATTGTGCTGTTTCTGTCACGATCTGTCCTGTGTTGTTGTTTTGTCTTGTCTTTGGGTTTCCTGTTTTATTTTGTAAATTGTTCACCCCCGTTTCTTGCCTGTTGTTTTCTGTCTGTTTTCCCTCCCTGATTACCCGATTGTGTTCACCTGGTGCCTCTGTGTTTTCTCCTACCTCCTCACCTGTCTCGTGTTTGTTTGATTAGTCCTGGGTGTATTTAAGTTCTGGTTTTTTCCGTCTGTCTTTGTCGGTTCGTCTTGTGTTATGACTTGGTCGTCGGTGAGTGTTCTGTTCTGTCTTCGTTTATCGTTTTGCCTTGAAATAAAGGACTTTTTGACACTTTAATCTGCATTTGGGTCCTGCTTCCTGCACAAACCGTGACAGAACGAACCGACCAGAAATGGACCCAGCAGATGATCCATTTGAGGTGGAGCTACAGCATTTTTCCTTTGGTTTGGCTTGTTGCTGTGATTGGTGGAGTGGAGCGTCCAGTGTTCGGCAGAGGGAGGCCGCTCTGGTAGAGGCGCACCGGTTGGCTATGGAGAAACCAGACTTGGTGAAGTTCTTGCCTGGCTGGATTTTGAACTTCCTCTGGGTGTGTGATTTCCAGCCTGCTGACTACAAACGTCTCGGTGTGGTCCGTCTGGAGTCAGCCAGTGTTTCTGTCCCAGTTCCTGCTCCTGTCCAGGAGTCGTATTCCGGAACTCGTCAGGCTTATGGAGGTCCACAGAGTATTCAGGAGGCTGCTAAGAGGAGTCGTCGCAAGGCCAGGCTAGCAGCCCGAGCCCCAGCAGCCATGGTTCCGGCTCCAGTGCCGGACCCAGCAGCCATGGTTCCGTGCTCCAGTACCATCCCACATAGCCATGGTACCGTGCTCCAGTACCACCCCACACAGCCATGGATCCGTGTTCCGGTTCCTTGCCCAGCAGTCATGTTTCCGGCTCCAGAACCGGACCTTACAGCCATGTTTCCGGCTCCAGAACCGGACCTTACAGCCATGTTTCCGGCTCCAGAACCGGACCTTACAGCCATGTTTCCGGCTCCAGAACCGGACCTTACAGCCATGATTCTGGCTTCTATTCCGACCCCCGCAGCCATGGTTCCGGCCCCAGCAGCCATGGTTCCGGCTTCGGTACCGGCCCCGGAAGCCATGGGCTCGACTCCAGTTTCGGCTACAGGGCTGGCTCCCCAGCCGACGCCAGCTCCCCGAGTCTTGTCGGCGTACCGGCCGACTCCAGCACCTCGTCTCCTGCTGGCTCCCCAGCCGACGCCAGTTCCCCGAGTCTTGTCGGCGTACCGGCCGACACAAGTCCCCTCTCAAGTCCCCTCTCAAGTTCCTACCCGAGTCCCCTCTCCAGTTCCCTCTCGGGTCCCCTCTCGGGTCCCCTCTCGAGTCCCCTCTCGAGTCCCTTCTCGAGTCCCCTCTCTAGTCACCTCTCAAGTTCCTACCCGAGTCCCCTCTCAAGTCCCCTCTTGAGTCCCTTCTCGAGTCTCCTCTCGAGTCCCCTCTCAAGTTCCTACCCGAGTCCCCTCTCGAGTCCCCTCTCGAGTCCCCCCTCGAGTCCCTCCTTTAGTCCCCTCTCTAGTCCCTCCTCTAGTTCCCCTCGCGAGTCCCCTCTCGAGTTCCCTTCTCTAGTTCCTTCTCTAGTTCCTCTCTAGTCCCATCTCTGGTCCCTTCTCTAGTCCCATCTCCAGTCCCTCCTTTAGTCCCTTCCCTAGTCTCTTCTCAAATCCCAACCCGATGTCCTGTCCCGTTGGAGGTCCCGCCGACTACTCTCCTGCCGGGGGTCCTGCCAACCCCTTGTCCTGTCCCGTTGGAGGTCCCGCCGTCTACTCTCCTGCCGGGGGTCCTGCCAACCCTTTGTCCTGTCTCGTTGGAGGCCCCGCCGACTACTCTCCTGCCGGGGGTCCTGCCAACCCTATGTCCTGTCCCGTTGGAGGTCCCGCCGTCTACTCTCCTGCCGGGGGTCCTGCCAACCCCTTGTCCTGTCCCGTTGGAGGTCCCGCCGTCTACTCTCCTGCCGGGGGTCCTGCCAACCCTTTGTCCTGTGCCGTTGGAGGTCCCGCCGTCTACTCTCCTGCCGGGGGTCCTGCCAACCCTTTGTCCTGTCTCGTTGGAGGCCCCCGCCGACTACTCTCCTGCCGGGGGTCCTGCCAACCCTATGTCCTGTCCCGTTGGAGGTCCCGCCGTCTACTCTCCTGCCGGGGGTCCTGCCAACCCCTTGTCCTGTCCCGTTGGAGGTCCCGCCGTCTACTCTCCTGCCGGGGGTCCTGCCAACCCTTTGTCTTGTGCCGTTGGAGGCCCCGCCGACTACTCTCCTGCCGGGGGTCCTGCCAACCCTTTGTCCTGTCCCGTTGGAGGTCCCGCCGTCTACTCTCCTGCCGGGGGTCCTGCCAACCCTTTGTCCTGTGCCGTTGGAGGCCCCGCCGACTGCTCTCCTGCCGGGGGTCCTGCAAATCCCGTGTCCTGGTCCTCTTCCGTGGGGGATCCTGCCGAGGCCTGTCCCACCAGCTCCGACAACGGGTCCTGCCCGGTCTCCGGCACTGTCCC